TAAATGTAAAATGCTTAAAAACACTAAATTGATGAGATTATTACTTGGTTTTAATAAATAGAATATCCTTTTAATTACATTTACATTTAGTCATTTAGCAGACACTTTTATCCAAATCAAATTACAAATTAGCACAATAGAAGCAATCAAAACCAACAAAAAAAGCAATAATATGCAAGTGCTGTGTATCACCTATGATATGAAAACATGTCTTCCATCTTTATTTGACTCTCTCTCTCTCTCTCTCTCTCTATATATATATATATAAAGAGAGTGCTAGAGTTAGAGTGTCAAATAAAGATGGAAGACATGTTTTTAACCATTTCTTGAAGATGGCTAAGGACTTAGCTACTCGGATTGAGTTGGGCAGGTCATTCCACCAGGAGGGAACAGTTAATGTAAATGTCTGTGAAAGTGATTTTGTGCCTCTTTGGGATGGCACAAGTATGCGCTGTTCACTTGCAGAACACAAGCTTCTAGAGGGCACATAAGTTTGAAGTAGAGAATTAAGATAAAGGGGTGCAGAGCCAGTGGCGGTTTTAAACCTTACTGCCTTGAATTTTATGCAAGCAGCTTTTGGTAGCCGGTGCAAATTGATGAACCGAGGTGTGACGTGCATTCTTTTCGGCTCATTAGAGATTAATCTAGCAGCCGCATTCTGGATTAATTGTAGAGGTTTGATAGAACTGGCTGGAAGACCTGCTAAGAGAGCATTGCAATAGTCCAGCCTAGACAGAACAAGAGATTGAACAAGGAGTTGTGTAACCTGTTCCGAAAGAAAGGACCTGATCTTCCTAATGATGTATAAAGCAAATATGCAGGACTGGGCAGTTTTTGCAATGTGGTCTGAAAAATTCGAAGTAGTTATGGTTGATGTGCCAAACTGGATAGTGAAATTGTGTTGAAGTGATGGCTTTTGTTGAAACCACAAGCAGTTCTGTCTTGGCAAGGTTGAGTTGAAGGTGATGGTCCTTCATCCAGTAAGAAATGACTTATAGACATGCTGAGATGCAAACAGCTATCATCGGATCATCAGGATGGAATGAGAGGTAGAGTTCGGTGTCATCAGCATAGCAGTGATATGAAAAGCCATGTTTCTGAATGACAGAACCTAGTGAAGCCATGTAGACAGAGAAGAAAAGTGGTCCAAGAACTGAGACCTGAGGCACCCCAAAGCTAGAAGTTGCGACTTGGATTTTTAATGACATTTTTAATGTAAAAATACAAAATAGATTTTTTTATTCTGGTAGTGTAATTAATGTTTATTTAACCAAGAAAATGTGACTGGGACATGAGTTTACATTTAATATAAAAAAAAAAAAAAATATATATATATATATATGAGGACTTTGTCTTCTCATTTCAGAACACCACTGCTCTTAGCAGTTAATTTCATGCAGATTGTTCAATGATTCTAAGGAAAAGCAGAAAAAGAAACTCCTAAGACATGCATGCTCATAGAAGGCATTGCTAAAAGTCCAGTGCTCACAGGAAATTACCATATGATGTGACGTAAATGAAGTGAAGGTTCTTTATGTAAAATATCATGTCAGAAAGTGGCATAATATAACAGCAACACTTTACATTAATTTGCAGATGTCAGTGCATTGTAAATAATTCATATGAACTTCTAGCCTACATAAAAAGTTAAAATAGCATGCAGTACTTGTCATTGGTGGGACATTTAAAGGGATAGTTCATCCAAAAATAAAAAATATAAAGATATTATTTTGAATGTTGGTAATCAAACAGTTATGGCTACCAATTGGCTTTCATTGTATGGAGAAAAAATTATGACATTTCTCAAAGAAATCTTATTTTATTTTTCAAAGGAAGAAAGTCATACATGTTTGGAAAGATATGAGGGCGAGTAAATTATGAAAGAAATAGTATACCATATTATATTAAAATGAAGCCAATTTAGTTTAAAGTAAAAAATACCATAGTAAATGAAAATGATACCATAGTAAATGAAAAAGAAGCTAGTTTAATTAAAGTAAAAAAATCTTTCTTTTTCACACAATGTAAGCCAGCAATTTACACAAAACAATCTTCCTTACACACATAATATGATACAGTCAAGGTTTCATCTGCATAGTTAAACACCATCAAAAGACTACACTTAAAAGCCAAACATCTGTCATGCACTGATGTACTTACCGTTAAAGGTGGCAGTGCATGCATGCAGAAGTATAATGGAAAACAAGATAGTTTTGACCTCCATGAGTACCGATCAGGGGTCACTTCCTAACTGAAGATGAATCTCTTTACAAACAGTGCTTCTTCACTCTCTGAGCGCTCAGTCTTTTCTGTGAGGAGAGGCTCAGATTTATACAGTATGGTGACATCACTGGATCGTCCACCCTCCACTGAACCCAGATTCATTCCTATTCATTGCTATAGCGCGAATGAGAAATCGAGCTGTAATTGACAGACATCACAGCTCCGAATGAGAGATAGACGAATGATGATTTATTTTGTTGTCTTCCCTAAAGCTCCAAAATGATTTCATTATATAATGCCTTGACATGCCCAAAGACCTGCGTTTATACTGTATTCAGCATTTTCAGTTTATTTGGCTGCCAGAACAACTTTGTCATTTTTGTAGTTTATATGACCGTTAGTATATTTAAAGGGTTAGTTCACCCAAAAATGCAAATTCTGTCATTAATTACTCACCCTCGTGTCGTTCCAAACCCGTAAGGCCTTCGTTCATCTTCAGAAAACAAATTAAGATATTTTTGATGGAATCTGAGAGCTCTCAGACCCTGCATAGACAGCAACGCAACTGTAATGTTCCCAGGTCCAGAAACGTAATAAGGCCATCGGTAAAACAGTCGATGTGACATCAGTGGCTCAACTTTAGTTTTGCGAAGCTACGAGAATACTTTTTGAGTGCAAAGAAAACAAAAATAGCATAATTTATTCAACAATTCTACTCCCCCGAGTTGCAGTCTTCCGCCATGTTAGAGAGCATGCTTTCCCCTAAGCATAAACAATGCTGAATACGCAGATTACGTTCATGCACGTGCTTTCCCCCAGAACGTAAACAATGCTGATTATGTTGATTATGTTATTGGGTACTCTCCACAATGGCGAAAGACGTAACTCGGGGGAGAAGAATTTTTGTTTTCTTTGCGCTTAAAAAGCATTCTAGTAGCTTCGCAAAACTGAAGTTGAGCCACTAATGTCACATGGACTGTTTTACTGATGTCCTTACTACGTTTCTGGACCTGGGAACATTACAGTTGCGTTGCTGTCTATGG